TGACTTAAATGCTGTTCTTGATTGGTGCAAGCTGTGGTCCATGACACTTAATATTAAAAATGTAAATCAATGAATGTGTCTCGCCGTAACACTACGCCTTTTATCTATCATCTTGATAACATTTCTTTAGAATGTGTGACTTCATATAAATACCTTGGTGTGCATATTACTTACAACCTCTCCGGGCATATACATATTAACCACATCATTGCTAATGCCACTTCTATGTTAGGCTACCTAAAACGTAACTTTTCTCTAGCGCCAGTTTCTCTCAAACTAACATTATTCAAATCTTTGGTTCGCTCAAAATCAGAGTATGCAGCTTCAATCTGGGATCCTGGCCAGACGACGCTCACTTCTCATCTCGAGTCAGTTCAGAACCGCGGCCCTCGTTTCATACTTAACAATTATCACCGTACAGCTGGTGTATCATCCATGATATCTCTTCTCTCCTTGCCACTGCTTTCTTTGCGCCGTAAGTGTTCTCGTCTATGTCTTTTCTATAAAATATACAGTTCTAACCCCATTCTTAAAGAAAAGCTCTTCCTCGTCCCGCCTTACGTTTCTCCACGCATTGATCATCAGTACAAAGTCGGCATTCCTCATTCTCGAACCTCAGCCTATCACGATTCTTTCATTCCTAGGACATCATCAGAGTGGACCACCTTCCGGCGTCATTAATATTATTACCCTCGTTAGATATGTTTAAAAGTGTTGTTACTAATTATTTTTGCGAAAGTGACCCGTGACCTATTACATGTCTTCTATTACTGTTTGTTGTTTGTTTTTTTCACTCACTCTCCTCTGTAACGCCCCCAGGGCCTTGAGGGTATGTAAATAAATAAAAATAAATAAATATTTTCTATGTTTTTGCAGTCGTTGGTACCGTTCTTTAGGGTAATAATCACGCAGAAGGTGAAAATAAAAAGTGCGAGCCTAAGTTTGAATCGTTGCAATGCACAAACCGTGGCCCTCTTGTTTCGTCGGGATAATTCATAACCGTAGGCAAACAGCACAAGTCCTTTCAAAGAAGAAAGCAATGTAATAATAATGAGCATATTGCGAGCAAAATAGGAAAATGTGTAAGTGGTAAAACTGCCAGAGTAATGGAGCCGAAGGTTTTCTGGAAGTGGCCCATCTTCACCCACTATTGAATAAAAAATACCGCCATTTTAAGGCAGTAATTTAGCTGAGCCCATAGCGCTCTACGTATTAAGCACATCTCTTAATATTCTGACTTCCGGAAAGAAGTATTTAATTTGTTCTGGTAGATCAGTGCTATCCCTACATGCCGCCAGGTTTTATTTATACAGGTTGCGCTCCGCAGTTTTACTTTTTTGTTAGGCCTAGACACATTTTTATTCCTGAGATTCAAGTACAGCATGGATAATTAAACTAGCTTTCAGAAATGATATCGTTCGGCGTTGTAACAATTATTTTTATAGCGTCAAAGGGTCACATTCACAAACCCGGCAGTGTGAACATGTAAACGTTTCTCGCTTTTTTTGCGTAAAAAAAAAGTTTTTATATTTGCGTTTTTTTGGTACGGTATGTCGTATAACATAAGCTATCAAAGAGACAGATATCGTTTGGCTATGGGAACATTTGAAATATTTCTGTTAGATAATCGTACCTACCACAGAAAACAGTTGATTCCCGCCTGAAATAGCATATTTTCACACTAAATTTTGTAGCGTCATAAGCAATAAACTCATCTCTTACTTTTTTAGTCTCTGCAAAGTAATGTTTATCATTTTTTTGTAACTCAAAGCGCGTGCTCAATCATGCCAGGTTTTTCTTTCATTTTTAGGCTCCGTTATACCGTTTTTATTTTTTATCAGGGCCAAACACGTGCATATACCACCGGACCTTAAGTATAGTACATCAAATTAAACTAGCTTCCTGAAAAAAGTAATGCTCTGCGTTGTAAAATTTATTCTTCGTGGCGTAGGCGGTCATATTCTCAAATCCTGGGCTTCACCGCATTGTTTTGTATTGCGTTTTCGCGATAAAACACGTCAGCCTTGCCATGCTGGAATAAAATACCCTAGCGTCGGCAGTCATTTAGGAAGGATTGATCAACACAAACATTTCCACTCGCTATTCATGAATTGCCACAGTTCCTCAGAGCCTCAATGACTTGACTGCAATGTGAAAAAGGCAAAAAAATAAAACGATGTCGGTCAGTAAACAGATCTTCCATGACGGGGCTCGCCAGTTTGAACAGCAAAGCGCCGATGCCGGCCAGTCACTGAACTTCCATGTAAATACTGGCCACCAAAGGATACATCAGCTTTCACTTCACAAAATACTTTTGATTTCGTGATTGTTTTCTGCTGAGATAAATTCTGGATCACGTTAATATGAAACATCAACTTAACGCCAATGCCAAACCTCTCACATTTTTTTTTCTTTCTGTGTTGTCTCAAAACCGTCACTAGCAACACGTTTCAGACTAAATAAGTACCAGGTTTTCTTTCCCGCCAGCTCTGCATGACGGTCAATTTACCTCGTTTCTTCATACTGGCTACTGCATGTCTGGAACATCGGTGGTTTTGATAGAAGCGAATTGGATGGACATCTGAGAATTCTAACTTATTAGTTATTACACTGAAGGCGACACATACTGACACATGTAGCGATGCAGGAGTGTGACAGATTTAGAAATAGAGACTTTTTATTATGAGCACGACCACTGATTCCAACTAAGCATCCTTAATCCTAAAGTTAGATTGAACAGAAGTGTATTACCCGATCCACCACTCGCAGAAAGTAACTCTGTCAAATTGCCACGATATTTCAAGATCCCTCCTCCAGGTGTTACCTGAGAAAAACTTTTTTTTTCGGCTATAGTGGTTAAAACCGATTACCAGTAAATACTTTATGGTTACGGTTACGGTTACGGTTATGTTTTCCTTTTTTATTGCAAATAACAATTTCGTTCCAGTTACGGTTACTGAAAAGTTTTGTTCCTAAATATTGATGATTGATGAAAGCCCTTGAAATTGCCTTTTGGATGAAAGCCCTTGAAATTGCCTTAATGTGCACCATAATAGAATGTTGAGCATGCAGGCATAAACAAGGAGACCACAGGAAAGCTATCGAAGATACTGTAATGACACTTTCCGATTGTGTGTACATCTAGCTGTAGCATCAAATTAGTTCTTGCTTTTGTTTGTTGTTATGTGGAGAAAATTATGTGAAAAAGGTTATTTGACAGTTATCAAGCAATTATTTCTAAAATTATTAAAAATAACAAAACGTAGTTCAATCATAATAATGAACAAGTATTGCAGAGTGCATAGAAAAAGCTACATGGAATTAGATGGCGATGACTTAAACAAAAATCGCCTTGATGTCACCTTTTTGGCGCCGCGTATCAGCTCGCTGTCTTCTGCGGTCTGAGCTCTGATCGACGCAGCCCGTACGGTATCGGGATGGATTGTTTGCAACTTGATGTTTCAACCACACGCATGAGAGTTTTCGGCAGCAGGCGGCTGATCCGATTTTCTTTTGAACAAGATATGGCAAAGTATGGTTTGTGCAATCCGGATATTTTTAGCCTAGACTCTGTCCAATTTGCCTTTTAACCGAATTCGGCAAGGAATGGTTTGTTCGAACCGCATGTTGTGTGTCTAAAATTCCTTCAATTGTACCTTAACCGGATTCCGAAAATCACGGTTTGTGCTAACCGATTAGGAAAATCACGTGTTTGTGTGAACCGGAATTCGTCTGTCTGTAATTCCTCCAATTTGACTTTGAAGCGGATTAGGAAAATCACGGTTTGTGCGAACAGGAATCTGTCTCTCCGGAATTCCTTCAATTTGACTTTGAACCGGATTAGGAAAATCACGGTTTGAGCGAACCGGGATTCGCCTGGCGGGAATTCGTCCAATTTAACTTTGAACCGGATTTGAAAATTCACGGTTTTTGCGAACCGGAAGCCGCTTTTCCGGTGTGACTCCGATTTGATTTTAGTCCGGATTTCACTTTCCGAACTGATTTCAAACAGAATTTCTGCTAGGAAAAACGGTGGCAAACGGTTTTTCGTTATTGAACTCAACGCTTCCAACACTGTACAGTTGTGGGATGTCTCAGCAGTAAAAACACCGGCAGCGAGTTCCGTCACAACACGTTACATCAAAAAAGAACATAACACAAACTACCCTTCATTTGTACAGCACTAAAAACAAATATCTTTTCTTTTTTGAAAGAATATCTTCTCCAAAAGCCACTTTTGCTGCTCCAAAACACTGTCTTAACTGCTCGAAAAGCCACTTTTGCTGCTGCAAGACACTGTTTTGGTTGCTCCAAAGGCCACATTTGCAGCTCCTCAAAATAGCTTAGGCCAATCACGTCACTGCGTCCCTTAAATTTAATGAATTTTTCAGTTGTGAAAATTAAGGGGTTCACGAACATTAAGGGTTTTAGAGTGCATCACAAAACGTGAGTCTATGTTTACGCAAAGCATGATCATGTAAACATACCATGATCGCGTCAAGTTGCGTGATTGTACAACGTCCATTTCTCATGCCGCCTGAGCGGGTTGCAATTACAAGCCGGCGAGCGCCATCTTTCAGGAGATTGCACACTTCCAGCGGCTCTCTCCCCACTGAAGCTTCTGTTCACGCTCGCTCGCACAGCCTTCAGCAAATCTAACCACACCAAACAGCGTGTGTTAATGGCCGAGAGCTCTGGTGTTAGGAAATTTATTTGCTCGCCTCCATCAAATTGTGTTCCCTGCTAGTGAACACCTTTCTGATCCCGAACGCACTTTGAGATCCGGTAGGTTTCAAAGACGGTTTCAAATAAGAAAACCAACGCCAAGTCGACTTTGAAACCTGGTATTTTTCGAAGTGATCGTTGGCGTTGGTTTCTGAAAGGACACGTCATCGGTTTAGTGAGAACGGGAGCTAAGAGCATTTTATGCTTAAAATGATACTCATATCAGCGCCGCCTTTATTGTTCTCTGACTAAATCAGTTCAGCTTTTATGTGCAGGAGGGACCCGTACCGACAACACGCTGCGTTGCCTTCTCAGGATACAATATGGAGACAGCGAAAAGCATGAGCGTTTACGTTCATATAGTTCGGCTTTTTGAAGTGCAAGATGCAGAAGATGGCTTGACTGCGGTCATGGAGGCCTACTCACTTTTTGGCCTTGCCCATTGTCAGAAGACATGCAATACGAGCTGCATTCTTTAGAGGCTTTGTCTTCTTCTAACCTACTCGCAGCTATGGCCAGTCACAATGAAAAAGACACTTGTAGCCTGATTGCTGATCACATAGTGCGTTCGCGGAAGTCTGTTGTAACTCCTGCATGCTAGTTTTGGGTTTCGAAATCACTAAAGGCTTTGTTTATTTTTCTTGAGATGGCGGGTGCAAGTTGTGTTGTTCACATATCTCAGTATGCTTAAATTTATAACCAGCTTTGTTAATTTATACTCGTCACGTTTCCCTAGTGCTATGCGTTGTTTCCTAGTCAGCAAATTATTAGGCAACTGTTTGGAGTAGTTCCTTTTTTTGCCGTTTTTGTCAAAACAGTTACCGTCACCATGTCTAAAATTCAGCATCCTCACTGTCAAAATATTGTAATCTTAGGGTACTCTGCTAAATATGAAGAGGACTGTCATTAAATGTTGTATTTCTTTATCGCTCCTGTTCATACTTTGCATATTAGTTCGGTCAAAAGTCACCACCAGTGTTCTACATTTCCATGTAAGTCCAATGCTTTCGTTCATTTTATTCATAACCTGGTCATTGTTCACAGGGAATTACGATGTTATATATATGGTGTTCTGTTTGGCTATTTATTTAAAACTTGTTTTCAAATTAGCTTTTCAAGTTGAAGTCTCGCTTTTTGAAAGAAATTCAACATATACAATTTTATGACACACCTGGAAAATAAAGTCACAGCAAATAACCAAGGGTTGCCTTGACATTCTTGTCTTCGTTTGTGCATCCATATAAGATAGCCCAACCCCATGCTTGAATTTACCCTAACCTTTCGTGCTCGTGCGAAATTTGAGAAGTGGGCAGTTAAGGTTTTGGTAACGTTTGTCGGAATAAGCAAATACTGAGTCAACAGAAAAAATATGGGATCCCAATTTTAAATGTTATAATGGAGATGTATAGTCTGTTAGCCCATCCCAGCACAAGAATTTCAGAATTGATGAAGCGAGCGTAGGCGAGCACGTACTAAGCAGTACGAAAGTTAATGAGCGTGCACAAGAGGCGGAGCTTATGGTGCTGTTCTTGATTTACAACAGACGATAGCTCTCCTCAAAGTATATCGGAATTTCAAAACTTCGAAAGTGCTATTTTTTAAATAAAAGCCAGGCATTGTTGTATATTCATAACATTTTGGCTTTCTTGAAGAATGCGGACATTCTGAAGGTGTTGCCAAAGGCTTGCCAGGGTTCCAGCTTTAATCGAATGGGACAAGTGCGACCTAGTATGTACACGCTCTATCGCAAGCTCTTGTTCTGCAAAAGCACATCCAAAGTCGCTCTCGCGTGCTGCAGCCTTCGCTTCCCTATGATGTTAATGGTGGGCAACTTGGGCTGACACAAGATATCGTCCCGTCACTGCCACACTCCGTTTCATTTTAAGTGCAAGTGAAACCGAAAAGCCAAGTAAGAACCTGTTGTCCTGAACGACACATGCACTGCACGAGTGCAAATGCCAAGCAACGTTCAAAGCGAGGAGCTTGCTCTTAAAGCCATGGCATCGGGCTTTCTGTTGAACGTCGTGGTAAGGAAGCAAGGTTTTGGGAGGACACCTTTCATGACGAGAAACTCCACCTGCACCGCACTGCTCCAACTGGTACTTGGAGCACTTAGTTGCGGTACTTTAGATAAAACAAAACACGTTGTTTTGTTTTAGAAACAAAACACGTAGTTTACAATCGTACTTTTTCCGCGCTCTATGAACGTGAATAATTTATTCTGAGCAGGACTTGAATGCATCCAACCCCCATAAAAAGTTTTTTTTTTTAAAGATTATTTTCAGATTTTTCCTGCGTGAACTAAGAAACTATCTTGAAGATAATATGGATCCCCGGCCGGTTTTTCATTCCACATCTTGCGAATAATCTCCGTTACGTCGGTCTCAAACAGCCTCTTCGCTTCCTTGGACAGCAGTGGTGCAATGGGATCTATAGCGAGTTCTACTTCTGAAAGAAAAGAGGAGGGGGGGGGAGCAAAACATTTTTCCTTTCTTAGACAATAAGAATAACACGTGCCACAAAATACGATCCTTTCCGGTCTATACCTCGCAGCTTTCAATCGGTCGCAATCGACTAATTTCAGCAGAAAGGTTGGCAACACTGTCCCAGCGATGCAAAAGTCTCAGGTATATATTTTGTACGGTGTGCGTGGCGAAACTGCAATTAAAAGCCAACATATATTTATTATTATCGAACAATACGCATAAGCGCCATCAAGACTCAATATTTTTGACAAGAAACCAAATTACAAAAATTTCGGGACAACTTTCTGCTGATGTAAGTCGCATCGTTGTATAAGACGCGCCAAATGAAAGTACGATAGAGCGATAGAAGTATTATAACACATTTCCTCTCTAAAATTCGCCTCCTCGGCTGCAGAGTACCGGTCATGATTGGGTCCACGGAGAGAACTCGAGAATGAACGGCACCGAAAATGTACTGAGATCTAAAAATGAACTCAGGGTTGTGGCATGCTCTGTGGCGCGGGTCTGTGAAAAGTCAAGCTCAGTGTCACAATGCAAACTTTATGATGCATATTTGCGTTCTTACTAAAATTAGCCCTGACTTAGCATTAAAAAGTGAAACCTGCCAAGTTGGAAGATAGTCGGCCGGCGGCCAAACACCTGCGCTCCGAGTTCCGCTTGCCACACCACGCAACTTCGAGATTAAAAACAAAAAAACGCACACACATACACAACTAGAAAAGCAAACCGGAGAGACAAGGTTGGCAAACTTCAGAAGATTTTACAGCGGCGAAAGCTTCGAAAACAACAAGTAAACCATCAGAAAGAATACACACAAAAAGAGGACCCGGTGTGCTGACACGGCGTAGCGTGCCTGGAAGCCTAAGATTGGGGTTCTCTTCTGCTGTGTTCCTCATAAAAAGCAAATCTCATATTGCGGTTCGTTCTATAGTTCGAAATACAGCTGAAAATTATTTGAAACCGATAGCTTTAAGGAGCTCGGGTCACCGAAGTGCCGGTCGCCATCGGTGGGACGCAAAATCCTAATTAGTCGATCAGTAATACATTCGCCATAGAGAAAAAAAAATGCCAAAGAAAAATAAACACAGGGAGCATAGGAAAGTCCTATGCTCCCTGTTTTTATTTTTCTGGTTCGCTGAAAAATTAAACCTTAGTTGATAGTCAGCGCTTTGTCCGGGCACCTCTTTCACTCGTCCTTTTGCCAAATGTTTGCTCTGTTTTCACGTTTGAAGATGTTCAACCAACTCGCCCAACTTACAGCCTTGTTAAAATTATGGTTTAAACGGAGGGAGGGACACACAATCCCTTGACCCGCTTATAAGAATATCCTGGCAACCGCGACAGTTGACAGCGCTATAGAGTGCTGCTGGGAAGAAACTAATCCCCAGATTCCGTGGAAGCGTGTTCTTGCTCACAACAGACAGGTAGTCTAAAGAAAAACGGACAGAAAAAGTTTGCACTGCGTCGACGACCTCTTTCGGGTATCGATGAGCCGTTTTGGCTCACCGCTATGTGACGAAATAAGGAACGACGGCAACCAAGGAGTTAAAATTGTATGGATTAAACCGCGAATAAATAAATGTTATTGCTGTCGCAGAAAAAAAAAACGAAAAATTTATTGTTTAGCGGACAGGTATTGCTCTACGGACAGGTAGATGCAGTGACAACACGGTGTTAAAGTGAGATGCGGTCCATCGGGATTTTACTCCGGGTTTTAAAGCAGATCTTGAACGCGAGGTACTAGATTGGAATGGAAAGTAGCATAGAGTTCTCAGTCAGCGCAGAATGAGTTTGTTTCATTTTCATACTTTTTTTAGTATCTCTATTTCAGAACGTTGCCTGCTTTGAGAAGAGAGGCAAATTTACGCCTGCTAACATGCATGTAGCTACACCTAAGCGCGAACTGACATTAAAGATGTTAAGAGGAAAACTAGACATCTGTATTAGTTCTACCCGTTGCAGCTGTCAGACAACAAAAGCAAACAAATCAAATGATATAGCGTAGAGCGGCATATTTTCTTCAGATCTGAAGTAAAAATAATGCAGTTGCCTATAAAAATGGGATTCAGGGTGAGGGTATGATGAAGGGGAAGGAAGACATTACCGTTGTACGTATGAGATCTTTTTTTTAAAGGTGGATGTGCATTTTATTGGACACCATCCTAAGGACACAATTCGCAGTTTGGAATGAAGAGGCACCGAGAAAATGAATAGTTCTCTTCTAATTCTCCAACTTTTACAAATTAGATTGAAGTTACAATCATCAGCAACGCAACAAGACCATAGACTTAAACTCAAGAAACTTCCTTGGATAAAGCGAGTGGAACATCAAAATCGCCACCATCGCCATTTCTACGTGTGAAGAAGCGCCTCTGAGCCAAGCATACCCTCCCCAAATGATAGCATAAGTTGTACACTATGGTTGCCGCTCGACCTTAGCTTGTGGAGTCTCTAATATTTTAAGACGAAAATGACCCATGGAGAAGGGGAACAAGTGAGACAAAGGACAAACATAAATATCCGAACACAGCTAGGTGACTGGTGCGCGACCGACAAAATCTGCCTGGTCCTCGCATCGAACTACTGAGTCTGAATAAAGTTTAATATTGTTACATTTTTTTTTATTTACAAGAGGACGTTCGTAGCCAAATTAGGCCAGATTAGAAGCCTTTCACGTGTGGCCTGCCCGCGCTTCGTCTTCGTCTATAGTGGTTCCCGGCACGCGCCTCAGCACGCCGCTACACTATTCCCCCTAAGCACTTGTTTTCTTGGAGGGATAATCTTTGGATCGTTTTCCTTCTACAGAACCTCGCCCCGTTCCTGTGGTGTTAGACTGTCTGCTTGTGCTAGTTTGTTTCGAAAAGTTTATCTTGAGTGAAGTCCTTTGAGCGTGCAGAATCTTGACTTGAAAGTTCGTACTCATTTGCACACACTCTAACGTTCAGACCGACATCACAGTCTGCCTGCAGCACCAAAGTCCAGCACGTTAGCAC